TATTTATAATTTAGACACAAGACTGCGCGGGCAGTGCATCGTATCGCACCACATCTGATGCGCCGACACATACGGACGCCAACTCGTTGCACACCTACCACGCGCGATGGAGACCTTGCAGAAAAAGCAGACGGAATAGCGCAGGTGCAATCATACGGGCAACATGGAGTGACATGGGGGCGGATACTAGTACGGTCACGACGAGGACCGAAAGGGGGCGGAAGTCGGGCCGGGAGCATACCTGTCAAGCGCATGGTGAATGGCAGAAGCCGCGGTGCCTGCATGGTCGCGCGATCGGCAGCAGCCAGCACCGCCGTATAGGCGGCGGGACGGTGTACTGGCACGACATCCGTAGTGGGGACGTGCAGCTGTGGCGGCCGAAATGTGGATCCAGTGGCACTCGTACATCGCGTCCGTGTGTTATTAGGGCCCTCGTTGTCGATGAAGCAGAGTATACGTCGCAGGACCTGCGATGGGTGGACAGCGGTGACAACATGTTCGAAAGGAACGGGATATATGCAACACATGAACGGCCGGAGACGGCAAAGGCAGCGGTACGGGAATAGGTACACATGGCACCATAGCAGCGTACGTGGAGTATCACAACTGCCAACATGGGATACACGACCGCCGTGCAGAAATAGAGACTGGCGGTGAAGAGCTGCCGAAGGGTGTCGAAGAGGCATGGAGGCACGCTAACACGATCACATATGTACCTGCTATACACGCCAGAGCCGCTTCAGGCAATAGGCATTTCGAACGGACAGAGGAGCGGTAACATCGACGGATGGGACCCCGTATGTGTCAGCGCAGGAGACTGCAGACAGACGGCAGCGGCAATCCGGAAGGAATGACAGACAGTCAGACGGTCAGACGGAATAGCGTGGGTGCAATCATGCAACACGGAGTGACAAGGGGGCGTGTATTTATAATTTAGACACAAGACTGCGTGGGCAGTGCATCGTATCGCAGCACATCTGATGCGCCGACAGATACGGACGCCAACTCGTTGCACACTTACCATGCGCAATGTAGACCTTGCAGAAAAAGCTCGGCATGGAAATGCTCGGCAACCACGATGCACGCAAATATGCGATGCATTGCAGCGGCGATGCGTGACGGTCGTGCAGAAGCAGGGCCGGATATCGCGAAAACTCGCTATGTCGAAAAAACAAGATAAATAATAAGCAGCAAGACGAACACCGGTAATACAGACTATTTATCGCGGCCGTGAAGCAATTGCTTAGACATGCAATATACATACATCCTAAATAAATAGCAACATAAAACATGTACAAGGAGAACTGACATAAAATAGTTTGCGCGTGCATAAAAAGAAACGACACCAAAGTTGTCGTACACGCCTAAACGCGATGTGATTCCGCGGACATCGTGCACACGTCTGCGTGGACATCGTCACAACGACGAGTCGCTATGTCGCAGTAAAGGACGTATGTAAACAAAAAAGAGAACCGACACAGAACGAGTTCATGCAAAACAATGCATGTCGTACAGTTGCCGACACGGTGTGGTGGGACGGACAAGCGGTAATGTGCCGACGCACATACACGTGGTTTGCATCACAACGCACACTCACCGCGCCTACTGGAAGCCTTGCCGGAGCAGCAGCTTCAACGCATGCGAACCTGCACGACAGTGTGAAGGTCGCGAGGAGACAAGCCCGGAACTCGTCATGTCCAATTCGTTATGTCCAACCATCATGTACACGAGTCGCATGCGTACAGCAGAGCATGCTGCAGGGAGAGCGGGCAAGCGGCGAGAGGCGGATAGGAATGGGACACGTACGAATGTCAACACGGTGCTTGAAGACCCTAAATTATACCAGCGAAACCGGTTATACCGTACATATACTCACCAGTGTAGGTGCGAGGGACGCCGCCAACTTGTGTGGGAGTCGAACCCACAAGTGCACAGAATGCACCCAGCCCTGCAAGCGTGTCGTTGCGCGGCTAGACCGCCGTTCAACGCTGGCATTTAACGCCATCCAGGGGCGGCTAGATGGAAGTGTGTGTGTGTGTTACATGGTTGGGGGGTGCGTGACCCCATACCTGTAAGACTACCCATACGAGCCGAGGGCCCAAGGGCAATACTACAACGCCTAAAAGCCACGGAGAAAAAGGAAAAAAACACCGCACATCAGCCCAGACTAACGTCCAAAGGGGGTAATTGAGTTTCGGTGAGCCCACATACGTTCCAACATCCTCGCCAGACGTGCGGGTTCCCATTGCATGGCCTCCAACATACTCTGTTGATGATCGAATCCCTCTTCAGCACGAATATCATTATAGGCTGGGCATTCCAATAACACGTGTTTTTCATCCTCAAGATGGAAGTGAAGAGAGGGGACAGGTGCAAGGCATAGTGAAATTGGACGACGTGTAGTGGACGGCAGCGCAAGTGGATGAACACCCAATAACGAGTCATTCCTGCAGAGCTGTGATAAACGTTGTTCGACCTTCTGTCTTGGTGGTGATGGTACCGGTGACGGTGAATGAGTCGTAAGCAGCGTACACCATACGATCATTATCGTCTGCGAAGCTGGCGCTGCCGAAGAACTCGTCGTAGTTCGGTAACTGTTGCATGACGGCGATGCTGTCGGTGCACACCGGATAACTGCGGCTGCCGATTGTGAGGACGAGCGGGAGGACCGGTAGTGAGCCGACTACAGTGACAGAAGTGGGGTTGGGTGACAGGGTGGCCGAGGCGTGTGGACCATCCAACGGTAAAACAAGGGCACTGCGGCTACACTGCTCCCAAGCCAATACCATATCAGTTGTGTCGGCGGGCACGGTGGCCGCGGTAGTTCGCTGAACAGCCGCCTGGAAGGTGTGCACTCGTTTGGGAGGGCGTTTGCCGGGGGCAGTCGCTGCTGCTACAAGCGAGCCGCTGAGGAAGACACTATTCATATAAGCTTTGCTATTGGAGGGGCTGATCTTGGCACCATACACGTAAAGGGGCGTGCTGCTATCGGCCGCTGCTTGTAGCTGAGCGACGAAGTCGTCGGGAGCGGATTCTCTGATGGCGAGCTCCACGTGTCTGGCGTCGGGACTGTCACCGTTGCCGCACGCGACCCACGCCTTAAACTTGCGGAACGGCCCGCCCCGGAACATCCCGCCGTGTGGGATGAGCAGGAGGGCGCTGCCATCCGACGCGTGCTTGTCTTCGGGGCGGGCCCTGTCGCTGCCGACATCGTAAACGGGGAACCGAAGCCTGGCGCTGTAGAGCATTGGGACAGCGGAGGAGGGCTCCACGGAAATCCGCGTCGCTGAGGAGGCTTTAAACTGCCCCACCGTCACCCCAGCGAAACGAGAAGTTATGAAAGGCGGCAGGGAAGCTGCATCCATGTTGGCGAACATCACGCGGTGGCCGAACGCGTGGCTGCTCTCCAGCCTGCCGAGGATGACATCGTCAATCTGCATAATTACTATCCCCTGGCCGGCGGTATTCACACCAGCGATGAAGCTGCCGTAGCGGCTCTGGGCGCCGGCAAAGAGGCGGTCCTCATTCGTTTCTGTGGGGCCGGCCGTAAACGTCACATTGCAATACCCGCTCAGCCTCTGTATCGTATATAAAAAAAAAAACCGTATGCGTATACACGCGGTGCATAGCAGCGAGCCGACGTCTGTGATAAAATGATAAAAACAGCTTCACAAAATGCCGTACAGCCCACGCGGACAAATTTGGACAACCGCTGATGTGCAGTTCGTCGCGTTTCATACACATCGCTGAAGTACGCGTTGAATTGCGTTGAATTGCAATTCAATGTGCTTAATTGCAGGTTGAATTGCATGTTGAGTTGTGCGGTGGGCTGTACGTTGAATTGCGCGAAGCGCAAAACGTCAAATTGTACGGTACAGTGCGGCCAATGTTTTGTGATTTGCGCGCTCAATCGTGGCACGGTGCGGCCGCGGCGCGGTGCGGTGCGGTGCGGTGCACGGTCCGGAACGGAAAAAAACAAAACAAGCGCGGGCGCCGGGATCGAGCCGGTGACCGCTACCTCCCACACGGTGTCGGAGCTAGCGCACACCACGAACCGGTGCGTGACGATGCTCCGATGCGCATTCCGCAGACCCAGGTGTGCTGCAATGCAATGCGTCGCGGTGCGGCGCGGTGCCGTGCGGTGCGAAAAAACGAAAAAAAGCGACGAAACGAAAAAACGAAAAAAAACAATTCAATGCGCTTAATTGCAGGTTTAATTGCATGTTGAGTTGTGCGGTGGGCTGCACGTTGAATTGCGCGAAGCGCAACGCATCAAATTGTACGGTACAGTGCGGCCAATGTTTTGTGATTTGCGCGCTCAATCGTGGCACGGTGCGGCCGCGGCGCGGTGCGGTGCGGTGCGGTGCACGGTCCGGAACGGAAAAAAACAAAACACACGCGGGCGCCGGGATCGAACCGGTGACCGCTTCCTCCCACACGGTGCGGGAGCTAGCGCACACCACGAACCGGTGCGTGGCGATGTTCTGAAGCGCATTCCACAGACCCAGGTGTGGTGCAATGCGATGCGTCGCGGTGCGGCGCGGTGCCGTGCGGTGCGAAAAAACGAAAAAAAGCGACGACGGCGGGGCGCGAACCGGCGACCGCGGCTCCCAAGCGGCGACGGAGCTAGCGAAAAAGACGCAGCTCCGAAACCGCGAACGACACGGCGAAAAAGGCCAACTCTCCAGAGGCTCGACCAGACGGACGGACAGACTAGACGCGGGCTGCGTCGCCCGCGAGGGGGCCGTAGTCCCCCGGCTGGGCGGCAGGAGTACGACGGTCCGTGCGTGTACTACACCCGTGTGGGAGTCGAACTCACAAGTGCAAGGGATGCACGAAGGGGAGCATCGTTGTCGTCATGACGCGTGAGTACACGGTGAGTACCCGGGTGGGCGGCAGGAGTATGACGGAGCGTGCGTATACTTGTAGTACACCCGTGTGGGAGTCGAACCCACAAGTGCAAGGGATGCACCCAGCCGTGCGGGCGTGTCGTCGGACGGCTAGAGAGCCGTGCAACGCTGGCATTTAACGCCATCCAGTGGCGAGGCAGACGAACTGTTTTACGTGTCAGGTGGTGTTGGCTGCGGAGGTCCAACGCTCCTCTAGGTTTCTGGCGTGTTTGTACTCGGCGTGCGTGCGTGCGTGCGTGCGTGCGTGCGTGCGAGCGTGCGTATACTTGTAGTACACCCGTGTGGGAGTCGAACCCACAAGTGCAAGGGATGCACCCAGCCGTGCGGGCGTGTCGTCGGACGGCTAGAGAGCCGTGCAACGCTGGCATTTAACGCCATCCAGTGGCGAGGCAGACGAACTGTTTTACGTGGCCGTATGCATCAATCAAATCAGCGAACAATGCCTATCACGTAAGCATTGTTATGTACGATTGCAAAGTGTATGTAGGCTTGCCGGTGTATGCCATGACATGCGTCGATGCATAACCTGTTATGCCCCGTCATCGTGTCGAAGCTCGACCAACGAAATCGTAGAATCGCCTGCAGCAGCGTCGGAGACTGTAGACCTTGTGCCGGTCCTAGAATTTCGAGGGTCGTGGT